CAAAGATTGGCAAGACACCCAAGGCTGAAAAGTTAGAGTTGGTTCATACTGATGTATGAGGACTATCTCCAGTTCTATCTCTTATAGGCTCACTATATTATGTCACCTTCATTGATGATTCTATAAGGAAGGTGTGGGTTTATTTTCTGAAGAAGAAATCAGAAATTTTTGATACATTCAGAAAATTGAAGGCCATGGTGGAAAATGAGACTGATTTGAAAGTCAAGCGGTTGAGGTATGATAATGGAGGAGAGTATAGAAATAGTAGATTCAGAGAATTTTGCGCAAACAATGGGATCAAGATGGAGACAACAGTTCCCACGACACCGCAGTGGAATAGCGTAGCAGAGCGCATGAACAAAACTCTAAATGAATGTGCCAGAAGCATGAGAATACATGACGGCTTGCCCAAAATGCTATGGGCTGAAGCTATCAACACTACAGGTTACCTGATCAACCATGGACCCTCAGTTTCCTTGGATGGTGGAATATCAGAGGAAGTTTGGAGAATAAAAGAAATACACTTAAGAGTATTTGGTTGTATTTCTTATGTACACATAAATTCTGCTAAAAGAAGTAAACTTGATGCTAAGTCCAACAAATGTGTCTTTACTGGTTATGGTGGTGATGAGTTTGGTTACCGTTTTTGGGACTATGAAAATCGAAAGATCATCAGAAGCAGAGATGTTATTTTTAATGAGAATGTGATGTACAAAAATAGGTCAACCATTGAATCAAGTAACTCTAATACTGAAGCTGAAACAAAGGAATTTGCTGAGTTTGAGGAGATTTCTGGAAATTATGTTCAGATCAGTCCTGAAGCAGTTCAAGAAGAACCATGCACACTAGAACTGAGACACTTCTCCAGAATTCCTAAACCAACCCAGCGTTATTCGCCTTGTTTGCACTGCTTGTTGTTGACTGACAATGGTGAACCAGAGTGCAACAATGAAGCAATGCAGGTGGAGGATTCAGTCAAGTGTGAGTCTTCCATGAAAGATGAGATGGACTCGCTTATGTCAAATCAGACGTGAGAATTAGTTGAATTATCACAAGGCAAGAAAGCGCTCCATAATAAGTGGGTTTACAGGATCAAAGAAGAGCAAGATGGGAGCAAACGCTACAAAGCAAGATTGATTGTCAAAGGTTTTCAGCAAAAAGAATGTATTGACTACAATGAAATTTTCTCTCTAGTCGTGAAGCTGTCTACAATTAGACTGGTGTTGAAAATTGTAGCTACAGAGAATCTACATCTTGAGCAGTTAGATGTAAAGACAACTTTTCTTCATGGTGATTTGGAGGAAGAAATCTATATGAGACATCCAGAAGACTTCATAGAGGAAGACAAGAAAAACCTGGTATACAAGTTGAAGAAGAGCTTGTATGGTTTAAAACAAGCTCCTAGATAGTGGTACAAGAAGTTTGATAGCTTCATGGGTAGCAATAGTTCTACCAGATGCAAAGCAGATCATTGTTGCTACATCAAAAAGTTCAACAACAGCTTCATTATTTTATTGTTGTACGTTGATGACATACTTGTTGCAGGCTTAGACATGCAAGAGATTATAAACTTGAAGTAAAAATTATCGAAGCAGTTTACAATGAAAGATCTTGGCGCTGCAAATCAGATTCTTGGGATGAGGATTAATAGAGACACAAAGTCGGGGACTTTGATGTTATTGCAGGCTGAGTACATCAACAAAGTACTCTCCAGGTTCAACATGCAAGATGTTAAACTAGTAAATACACCTTTAGGTGTTCATTTTAGACTCTCCAAAGAACAGTCACCAATGACGGAGGAAGAACGTGCACACATGGTGAAGGTATCGTATGCCTCAGTAATTGGAAGTCTTATGTATGCCATGGTTTGTACTATACCATATATTGCTCAAGCAGTGGGAGCTGTTAGCAGACACATGAATAATCTGGGCAAGGTACACTGGGAAGCAGTCAAATAGATCCTCAGATATCTGCGGGGTATCAGAAACAAAGCACTTTATTTCAAAGGTGGAGATACGATACTGACAGGCTATGTAGATGCTGACTTAGCCGGAAATGTTGACATCAGAAAAAACACTACAGGATATGTCTATACTCTAGGAGGTACCGCAGTAAGTTGGGTTTCTCAACTATAGAAGATAGTTGCTCTCTCCACAACTGAAGCAGAATATGTCGTTGTTACGGAAGCCAACAAGGAGATGGTTTGACTCCAAAGTTTCTTGGAAGAGTTAAGCAAGAAATAAGAAAATAATGTCTTGTATTGCGGCAGACAAAGTGCTATCCATCTAGTGAAGAATCCGTCTTTTCATTCCAGGACGAAGCACATACAATTGTAATATCATTTTATCCAGTCTCTTCTGGAAGATGGGATTTTGAAACTTGAAAAGATCAGTATAGCTCAAAATCCGGCATACATGTTAACAAAGACGGTGACTACGGACAAACTGAAGTTGTGTTCAGCTTTAGTTAGCATGCTAGGGTAACAAGACCAGAAATGTTGTTGCATTGATCGAGGTGTGAAGACATATTAAAATCAATCTTCAACTGGGAGATTGTTGAAAATCAAAGTTTGGCACCGAATGGTGAATGGTCAGAAGTCAAAGTTTGGCACCGAATGGTGCATGGTCTAATTTCCACCATTCACGGCAGTTTTTGTTGAATATTGGGTATGAGAAAATTGCAAATTTAGTCTTTGTACTTTAGGGTATTTACAAGATTAGTCCTTAAGCTTCAACTATAAATACTCTAACCCATTTAGCTTCAAAATCATTTCTTTCTCCCAATACTAAAGAGTTTAGAGAGTTTTCTTGTGCGTTTCGAGTGTTTTGTAAACACCTATAAATTTTCTCTCTTTAGTAGATATGCAACAGACTGGAGACGTAGACGTAATTGGTCGAACTCTGTTATCAATTTCGAGTATTATTTTTTCCCTTTTATTTCGCATTCTCATTAATTTGGTTATAGGGAAATTACTCGTTTAATTTCCCAACAGGAGCCTTTTTGAAGAAATTGATTAATTGATAATTAAAATTGTGAGAGTTCAGTTTGTTTATGCTCCAAAAATGATAAACGTCACGGAGGGTGACCTTGCAAAAGCGGGACTTAGTAGACATGTATTATTCATAGCATGGTGGTAATGGATATTGTACATACATGAACTAAAGTAAAGATGAACGAGAAGAAAATTGCTTATTAATCTTAATACAATGCTTAATTTGATCACTAATTACAATGTTTTAGTCCTCTGTGCCGCTTGAACTCCTCTTAAATGATGGTGATTTGGAGTGGCTCTTGATAGCATGGAGATGACGGAGTGAAATGCAGTCTCTGCGATTCTCGACTTGATTTGGCCCCTCTTTGGAATAGGCCTTGTGCCGCTTGAACTCCTGCCAACTGCACTGGTTTCAACACCGTTTACTTTGTTTTCCATGATGCACACTAAGAACTATGAATGAAGACTGCAAAATGGCTGATCGACTTGCTTAGGTTGACAGTATATAAAGCACAGCAATATCTCATCAGAATACAAGGGGTAAGGATTTGAATACAATGGATGAGGGAATAAGTATAGAAGTTGACCTTTGGGAATTGGTGGGAGCTGGGCGACATGCCAGCCAATCTGTGAGGCTGTAAAAGATACCTTGTGACCCAACTTTGAGATAGTAACAATTGCTGGTAATATTTGGTGGTGGCTGTCTGCCTTGCTATTAAACACGTGTGGGTTTGAAAAATATCTAGGAGCTCTGCTATGAATCATGGTGCTCGTTTCTGTTTGTCTTTTTTAGGGTATAAGTCGAAGGTATGTTGGGGAAACGTCTGAATTATTGTGTAGGTATGATTCAGTGTTCTGTTCTAAAATCTGAATCCATTTTCACCGACAGATTTACTTGTTTATATGCAATTTGCCCAGGTTTTCTTAAGCACGCATTTGCAAGGATGAATATTGAATGTTTGTGCATGTATTTTGGTAATGTCATATAGCCAACCGGTGAAGCCACGTTGTTATAATATGTCTACTTGGTTGGGCGTCACATGAACAAAGCATTTGATTAATTTTTAACCAGGTAGCAGTCTGATGTAGATAATTGTTAGTAAATCACAACAATGGGTTAAAATATATAGGGTCAGCAGAACTCGACTCGAAAAATCAATAATTTTTATTCAAGAAAACTTTTTTGAATTAACTTTGAGTTGTAATTTCATAAATTTGAATAAAAAAAATTCAAATTCAAACCGAGTTGTAAAATACAACTCGAATAACTCAAAATTTTTAGTAATTAGTAGATTGATTTTCAAATTTTAGTTAAGCCCCTTATCATTAATATACATTATATATAAAAAAATGAAGAAATACACCTATATTATTTATGGTTATAAAAAACCATTTAAATTGAAATAAAAAATATCATAATATTATAAATATTTATAATTAAATTAAACAAAGATTCAAAAATTCAACTTTAACTTGAATTTTATAAACTCGACTCGATTCGGAAAAAAATTTCAAGTCTACTTCAAATTATTTTTCAAATTATAAAATAAAACTCCTTAACTCGAAAAGTTTTTAATTCGACTTCATCGAACGCTCACACCTAAAAGTATCTACTGATATTTTAATAGTTTGCCTTCATTTCTAATCTATTCATATATAATCTGTAAATATCTAATTATTTGGTTTGCACCATTTTGTTAGTTGCCAAAGTTTACTGTTTCAGTTCCGTTTGTAAGATAATAAGCATTATAGCATGCTGTTCAGTGTATCATTTAAAAATTAAAACCGATAATAAATCGTTCGCTAATTTGTATAATTCTTTATCTCTATAAGTAGGTAAAAGAGAAGAATGAAAATGAGATGATTCCATCCTCCTCTAGCTCTTAATCGAAAGATTTTAGAGATCATTATGATTATCTAAAGAGAGTACGTCCTTACTGAAGATTTACACAATATCTTTCGGCACCTTTCACAAGCCCGGTAGTGGCAGGCGAAGTTGGGTCTTAAAAGTTATGTTCGCATTAGAAAGAGTTGAGATTTTACATAAAAGGTCTACTCGGCCATTCAGCAAGGCTTCATGTGCCACACCACTCAGTTATCATCAGTGTCATGGCGAGACCATGTTTCGAAGAGTGAAAAAGCAAGTAATGGTCCTAGAAAAGATGGCTGTGGTGGAGGCTTACTGAAGGCTACCATAGGCTCATTCTGCTCGTTACCGATGAACCCACCTTTCTTCGACCCATTTTCATCCGATTTCCTCGGTGTCGAAGTAGCCACAGTTCCTGCTTCCAATCATACGCTATATAAAAGTTTCTGCTTACAAAAATTTAGGCAAAACAAAACAAAGAGATTTAAAAGGGACATACCCCATGATCCAGCCGTAGGGCAGACTTTTTTGAATTTGTATTTTGCAGGCAAAAGTGCAGCACTTCCACCACGCATGTAGATTTTTATGTTGATGAGGTTGTCTAGGGGGGGACGAACACAACACACAACAAAGAATGAAACTTAGACATGTTTAAAGATTTGCAATTGAAAACTAATGCGAAAAGCAAAGATTAGGCAGAAAGATGTCACCAGAGACTACCTAGGATTTTATGTTATGTTAAGAGACATTCGAGAAAAACAAATTATCAACAAAAATATATATATCCGCCACTCGTCCTGAATGTCACATACATCGTTAACATTGATCACACAATCAAAGCGGTTCAAGAAAACCAAGAAACTGCTCACATCAAAGCAGCAAATTCTTAAGATCAGGCTGCAGATTCATACTAAAAAACTTACACAGATCTTCTAAATGATAAAAGCAGTCGGGAATTAAGAGTTGTACCTGGAAAAGTGACTGGTTGTTGTTCCTCTGGAGCAATAAAAAAACCTGAAACAGGGCAAACAACGTTGTTGAGTTCTCTGATTGATATTGGGAAACAGGGGGAAGTGTCGAGAATTTTCTCAGTTATTGATTTCTGAATGCTTATGTGTTCTGGATCTTTCAATGGCACGTTCTGGGCCATTTTATGTAATAAGATGTCCGGTGTATACGTGGAATCACATACGTCCTCATTTTCAATGCAGTTACAGGTGGGAGGCAGCTGCGGTTGTAGTCATTTTGATATTAATACACTAATACTATTGAATTTTTATATAAAATTATTATTTAAATTGTTTCTGATTTATATAGTATCTTATTTTTCATAGTTAGTATATGTATCTATATACATGAATGAACTATGTAAGTATTAACATGATTTATCTTTGAGAAGATATTATTTTTAGATCATTATGATATATATCTCGTTACATATTATATCAAATTTAGGGCTAATATTATCGTACATAGATAAAATATGTTGAATTAACGACATATGACATTTCTATTATTTACATTTTTGTCCTTTTAATTTCATTCCTTTAATTTCCCCTTTTATTTTTCTGTGTTTTTATTTCTGGCTTTTAATTTCAGTCCTTTAATTTATACCCTTTACTTTTCCTTTATTTTATTTTAGTCCTTATGCCTATTTTTTCTGTTTTGTGTTGTTTATATATTTTATGCTTATTTTAATGATTTTCATTTTTATTCCCTATTTAATGATTTTTCTTAATTACATTTTTGTCCATTGTGATTTATATATATGTGTGTGTGTAATAGATTACATATATAATATAGTTTATTTCATGTTTATTAATATATGTTTAATATACACATGCTTTATACGTAGGTTATTATTTACGTGTGTATACGTGTACAAATAGATTTTGGAAAATCAAATACCAAATAAAGGTAGAAACAATGGAGTTATTTAGAGCCGAACCTAGGATCATGGAAGCATATGCGCGCCTAACCACTGACAGGCACCATATTTGTGTCATGGTTTACACAATACTTATATTAGGGTGTGCAAAAATATCTGATCCCAATTATCTGATCCGAATATCAGAAAATCTGATCCGATTTTTTTCGGATAATTCTGATTAGATATCGTATAATCGGATCGGATCAAAAATTCCCAATTTCGGATTATCTGAAAATCCGAAAAATAAATGGACCTTTAGCCCTTGGCCCAATAGCTGAGACATTTTCAAGCCTTACACTGTTATTATGGGCCATTAATCACCTTATTTAATATTTTTTGCTGTAAATCTTATTTATAAACTCATAAACACTGCAGTGAAACGAAGGGTCCTCATGGATCAAATTTTTTGTTCGAAATTTCATCTAATTTAGACAGCAAACAAGGGAATTTTATCTGCTATAAATTATTAATATTACATATTATTTTAATAATAAATATATACGAATAATATAATATGCAATCTTATTTATAAAGATTTCTAAATAATTTTTAATAATTATTTAAGTATTTATTATTAAAATAATATATCTATAATAGCTTATACAGACAGTATTCCTCGCTCTCTCTGTTTCAAATACATGCATATACACATACTATCTGGATTTTCTAATTTAAATTTTAAAATTTAAACATAGAAAGAGGAAGCTAAATTGCATATTTTTCTTCATTTAAATTAGATCTTTTAAACTTGAAAAAAAAGTTAGATTTTTTAAGTGATATGTTCGGATCGGATATTCGGATATCGATCCGAAAATTCGGTTATCCGATTTTTTTGAATCTGATTCGGATCATTATTTTAACTATCCGAAATTTCAGATATCTAAATTTTTTAATCGGATCATATTTGATATCGATTTTGCACCCCTACTTTGTATAGTTTAGTTAAAGCTACGCCATGATATGGAACCATTTCAACGCTGGAAATGGACAGAGCAAATTTTGGATATTTTAATTACCTAATTTTAAAATATTATTAGAAAAAAATATAAATATTTAAATTAAGAAAAGAATAGAATACTTTTTTTGGATACATTTAAATTAAGATAAAAATAAAAAATAAAGATAAGAATAACACATATTTTTTGAATTTAGATAAAATAAAATATATTTAATAATTTAAGATACAAACAAAATATATTTTAAAGTTGAGTTCTATTAAAATAAAGAAAAATACTTTTAAAGGATAAGATAAAAAATAAAATATATTATTTAAGTTAATATTAAACTAAAATATATTTTTAAGTTAAAGATAAAGATTAAATATTTAAAAAAAAATTAATATGTGAATTTAATTTAATATTTGAATTTAAATTAAGATGTATATTAAGAATTTAAAATACAAAATATAAAAAGTTGGAAACAAAGTTATCCACCTGGCTGAACTGTTTGGTGTTTGATACCTTGATCATGGGTTCCAGGTTCGAACCTCTCTTATCCCTTTATTTTTTTACGGGTCATAAACTTTATTAGAATATGTTGCAAAGCCATTCCAATCCTGGGTTTTGGCGTGACGGTAAAGTTTCGTGAAATCTCTCCTATTTTCTTGGGTTCGATTCCCTATTAGCAACTTAAATATTATTGAAGTCGTTTTGACACCAATTAAGGGGAAACGTGTCACCTTTTGATAGGGTTTTAAATATATTAAAATAAAATTTTATTAAATGATGATAAGTGTCATCATTTGATTTGGAGAATAAATTTATTTAAATTAGTGTTAAATTGATAAAATATATAAAATTGAGGACTAAATGTATAAACATATCAATTTTATTAACAATCACGTCACTATTTCTGTCAAATATTAAACAAGTGGTTTGATTAAATACAATTAAATAATCACGTGGTCTAATTGATAAAACTAAAAAATTAATAAAAAAAATAAAAGGGCTAAATAATTAAGTGATCAATGATAAAATTTACCCTAATTAGTAAATATGGATCTTTACTCCGAATCAACCACATAATTAATTTAAAGGTAGTGTTTTTATTGTTTTAAAGTATTAAGAGAAGGGTGGTCTTAGTATAATTAGATATCATATCTCGATATTTTAAAATAATTTAAATACCCTATTTAGTGAAACCGAAAAATTATAGTCACGTTTAAATTTAACTAAGATAAAAAGAAAAAAAAAAGAAACATTCTTCTATTTAATTTTACAGAGGAAAAGTCGTTTAATGCAAATTAAAGACTTTGATTCGACACTTTTAAATAATTGAGCATTTTTTATTTTTTCTAAATTGATTGCTAATAAAAATTAATTGGTTAATTTTCTCATTTTCCTTGGTTTTATTAAATGTTTATTTTTTAATTTTATTTTGAAGGAAAATGATATTTCAATGTTTCAGTTGGAGAGAAATAGTTGTCTTAATCCACGATTGGGAAGTTTTTTCTCCTCGTTTGGAAACGATGGAATATCGTCCCTTTCTACTTAGAACTATTGGCTCAATAAAATGATTTTTCGTAAATGTGGAATTCTTTAGGAGAAAAATACGACATTTCATCGTCCCAGCTGATGAGAAAAATAATTGTTCCAATTCACGTTTGGAGGTTCTTTCTCTTCAATTGGAAATGATGAAATATTGTCCTTTTTTTTTATAATTCTTGGATTAATAAAATGTTTGTTTACGAAATAGGATCTTTAACTAAACTAATGACAAATTTGCAATATTTTTCCATTATAAATACAATGAATTAATCGATTAGATACAAGTTTTGGGCGCTTTGAGTGTGTTCATCCTTCAGTACACGTAATCGACTCTGAATCATTTTCAAATTAATTTTTTAGTTAAACGCAAATCATTTTTGTTTTTTAAAATATTTTTTCCTAAAATTCTTTTAAAAGACGTCTTTATGTATTCGAATTTTCTAATCCAAAGGTCGATGATGACTCCAAATCAATTTGTTTTTCTAATATTAAACTTTATCCCTACACTTTTTTAAAATTTTAAGTCTTGTTTACCAAGAAAATCATGGTTAGCTAGAGTACCACATAACCTGTTTTTTCCTCTTTTACATCTTTATATTGAAATCTAAAATTTGTATAGATATTGAAAAATCAAAAGCATTTAAGCACTGGTGTAGTTTATCAAGAAATTCCCATCTCATCTCATATAAATGCGACAAAGAACATTAATTCCACACTTTACAACACGATAAAACGATCTACCAAAAATAGCATTGCACTTAAAATCCATTCAATGATTCAATCTTTCTTCTTTTGCGTAGTTTCTTGGCTTTCATATTTTTTGGCCTATGTTGGAAGTGTGAAATTAAAAGTGTTCAAAATTTTACCCTTAAAATTCTTGTTTTTTTTGCTGCACTCAATTGTCGGCAGATACGTGTTGGTTAAATACTATTTAAATGTATGTATCAAGACGCTATTTAATTAGACAATAATTAAAAGTAGCTTAAATACTATTTTCAATTATTTAGGACAATGAATATCTAAATAACACGAACAAAAATAAAAAGTGTAGAATGCTATTTTCAATTATTTTAAAGGAATTAAAAATAATTTTAAATATTTTTTGTTCATGTTCTAAATAACATGTATAATCACTATTTTTACCACAACAGCAGTCCCTCCACGTTGCAGCTCCACCCGACGGTTCTAGCAGCTTCCAGAGGAACACCAGTTGTCCTCCACGTCGACAACTCCACCACAACAGTATTCCAGCAGCTTCCAGCAACAACAACTGTTCCCCCTCCATCCAATACCTTACAGCAAGCAACCCATCTGTCCCTCCACATTCCAATAGCTTCCTGCAGCTCCACCCGTGGCCTCCTGAGCACCGTCCACGTCCCAACTTCTTCATCAACAAATCATAAAACAACAATAAATACTAGATTTTTATTTTTTTACACATGTAATATGGGTTATAAAAACCCAACTAAAAAGGAGAATGGATCATCTCCCCCTCTTCCCCCGATTCTAGGCTAAAAACAATCAGTGCAACAGGGCTTCCATTCTCCCCAATTCTATTTTGGAAATCAATACAAATAGAAATGTTGTTATCTTCCATAATTTTTTTTGTTTGTTTTTTTAGTTTTATATTTTATTAAAAAAATAGTACGATAAGTTAAATAAATAAAAAACAATAGGATTGGATTTACCTCGTTGTTGGTCCTTGGTCGGAGTTCTCTTCCGTCGTCGGTCGGA